CAAGCAAAAAGGAGATAGTGTGATGATGTATTACGGGAGACTTAAGAAGATGTGGGATGAACTAGCGGTTTACAAACCGTTAAGATCATGCTCCTGTGGAGAGCTTGCAGCTCAACTTGAACAAGACCGGGATGAAGAACGCACACATCAGTTTCTAATGGGGTTAGATGACGTGCGTTTTGGTGGAATTCGATCCACGTTGACCAACATGGAGCCACTGTTGAAACTGTCCCAAGTATATCAGCGAGTGGTGCGAGATGAGAGACAACAGAACATCACTCGAAACAAGGATGAAAATACAGAGAGTGTTGGTTTTGCGGTTCAGGCTGGTGGAAGAAACAAACCAGGAACGTTTCAGTTTCGTGAAAAAGACATCACATGCACTCACTGTGGAAAATATGGTCATGAGATCTCCGATTGTTATCAAATCAAAGGTTACCCGGATTGGTGGGGGGAAAGAGGAAGAAATTTTGGAGATGGAAGAGATGGTGGAAACAGAGGAGGACGAGGTCGCTACGGTCGTGGTGGAGGAATGATAGGCAGATTTGGAAGAGGGAGAGGCTCGAGTTCTTTTGCGCGTGCGAATGTGGCCTAGACGCATCAAGATGACACTGCATCTGTCCATTCCGCACTTGCTCAGCCCGTGGCGAACTCTGCTACAGCACCACGACGAGAAGGAGGATATGATCGCGCCTCACTTCCTTGGTTGAATGATGATCAATGGACTGCGTTGATGGGTGTTCTCAATCGCCAAAACACAGGGGAATCATCTTCGAAACTTTCTGGTAAGACGGATATGATCATTGATTCCGGTGCTTCGCACCATATGACTTCGAATATGGATTTTTTGAGTGATGTAACAGCTATACCACCATGTTCCATTCGCCTACCTGATGGAGATCGAGCACTTGCTGAAAAACAGGGGCGAATGTGTCTCGGTGGAGACATATGGCTGAATGGAGTTTTATTCTCTCCGGATTTGACGTGTTCGCTAATCTCTGTGGCAAAGTTATGTAAAACATCTAAGAGTTTGATTACCTTCACTGAAGATTTATGTGTTTTGCAGGACCGTACTTCGAAGATGGTGATTGGTGCGGGTGAAGAGTGTGATGGTGTCTACAAGTTCAGAGGAATCTGTGGTGGTCAAGTGAACAAAGTAACGAGTAGTGATCAGCATGTTTTGTGGCATAGACGATTTGGGCATCCATCTGAACGAGTTTTATCTACTTTATCTAGTGTTTTTGATGTTGGTAAACCCGTTGAAACAGACGATGGTTGCGATATTTGTTATAGAGCTAAGCAAACTCGAGATTTTTTTCCTGAAAGTTATAATAAAGCAGATGGTATTTTTGATTTGGTTCATTGTGATGTTTGGGGAGCATATAGAACTCCGTCTACTTCGGGTGCTATATATTTTCTTACTATTGTCGATGATCATTCGAGAGCAGTGTGGGTCTATTTGTTGCTTGAGAAAAGAGAAGTGTCTGAATGTTTGCAGAAATTTTTTGCCATGGTCCAGCGTCAATTTGATAGGAAGGTACGTATTGTGCGATCTGACAATGGTACTGAATTCTCTTGTTTAAAACGTTATTTTGAACAAGAAGGGATCTTACATCAAACCTCTTGTGTCTACACACCACAACATAATGCAAGAGTAGAGCGAAAGCATAGACATATTCTTAATGTCGCTCGTTCTTTGATGTTTCAAGCATCTTTGCCGGTGAAGTTTTGGGGAGAGTGTGTTCTCACTGCTTGTCATTTGATAAATCGGACTCCCACACCTTTACTACAAGAAAAAACTCCTTATGAACTCCTATATGGAAAGGCTCCTTCGTTTGATATCTTGAGAGTATTTGGATGCTTGGGTTATGCTCGCAAGATCTCTAGGGACAACGATAAATTTGGGGAGAAGAGTCGAAAATGTGTGTTTATGGGCTATCCCTATGGAAAAAAAGGATGGATGATGTATGATTTGGAGACGCATGAGTTCTTTGTTTCTCGCGATGTGAAATTTCATGAGACGATGTTTCCATTTGAGAAGTATATGTCTAAAGAGAATGACGAAGTCGTGTTGCAACCAACTCCGGTAGTATGTGATGATGATGATGATTTTTTGGAAAATCAAGATATCACTTCATCACCTCATGAGAGTGTTGACGTCAGGGGGAGTGTCGAAGAGAATGGAGTACCCTCTTCTTCTCCGATAAGAGAACAAGTGGAACAACAGCAGACGCAAGTGGCTGAAGAAGCACAACCACAAGTAGAACAAGAACAGTTGGGTCGTGGACATCGAAAAAAAATTCAGTCCACCCGTTTGAAAGATTATGTGGTGCCGGAAACTTCTTCTAAGAAAAGCAATCGAGACCCATCACACTCGACCGCATCTCACGCATCCTCAACTCAAGGTACGGTCACTTATCCCATAGCTCACTATGTTAATTGTGAACGTTTTTCAACACATCATGCAGCGTTTCTGGCCGCAATCACAGCCGGACACGAACCAGAGTCATATAACGAGGCCATGAAATTACAAGTATGGCGTGATGCAGTAACATTTGAAGTTGATGCTTTGGAAGATCAACATACTTGGGATATAGTAGATTTGCCGGAAGGAAAAAAAGCTATTGGATGTCGATTTGTGTTCAAGATTAAATATAATTCGGATGGTACGATTGAACGACATAAAGCTCGTTTGGTAGTGATGGGTAATCGTCAAAAGGAGGGACAAGATTATCAAGAGACCTTTGCTCCGGTTGTGAAATTAACTACCGTACGTATGTTTCTTAAGGTGGCAGCGGTGAAGAATTGGATTGTTCATCAAATGGATGTCCATAATGCCTTTTTACATGGAGATTTGGAAGAGGAGGTGTATATGAAACTACCACCAGGATTCAAGTCATCGGATCCGAATAAGGTTTGTAAATTGAGAAAGTCTTTGTATGGTTTAAAACAAGCACCAAGGTGTTGGTTCTCGAAGCTTACGACTGCATTGCTCGGGTATGGTTTTGTTCAATCTTATTCGGACTACTCTTTGTTTACTTTGATTCGGGGGAAGATGTGTCTTTATGTCATTGTTTACGTTGATGATTTGCTCATTGGTGGTAATGATGAAGCAGAAGTCATAAGATTCAAAGGATATTTGAATCAATGCTTTCGTATGAAAGATTTAGGCGCCCTTAAGTATTTTTTGGGCATTGAAGTGGCAAGGTCACCTAAAGGTATCTATTTATCACAACGGAAATATGCGCTGGATATTATAGACGAGTGTGGATTATTGGGAGGGAAACCAGTGTGTACACCGATGATTCCGAATCATAAATTAGAGGAGGATACGGGTGATTTTTATGATGAACCGGATAAATATCGACGATTGGTTAGACGATTGGTATACTTGACCATCACTCGTCCGGATCTTACATACGTGGTTCATGTGTTGGCTCAGTTTTTACATCAGCCGCGACTCAAACATTGGTGGGCGGCGTTGCGTGTTGTTCGGTATCTAAAAAGCAGTCCGGGACAAGGAATTTTGCTCACGGCTGATAGTGATTTGGATATTAAGGGATATTGTGACACGGATTTCTCCACATGTCCGATGTCTCGACGTTCTCTTACGGGTTTAGCAGTGTTGTTGGGTGGCTCTCCTATCGCTTGGAAGACTAAGAAACAAGGGGTCGTCTCAAAATCTTCTGCGGAATCGGAGTACAGGGCCATGTCTTTTACTTCGTCCGAGCTCAAATGGATGAGTTTTCTATTGTCAGATTTTGGTGTTGAAATGAATGGACCTATGAAACTGTTTTGTGACAACAAAGCGGCTCTACATATAGCTGCCAACCCGGTATTTCACGAGCGCACCAAACACATAGAGCGTGATTGTCACTACATACGAGACGAGATTCGCAACGGACTACTTAAGACGGCATATATTCCCACCGGAGAACAGCTTGCGGACATTTTCACAAAAGCTCTTGGCACACAAGCATTCGAGTATCTTCGTGGCAAGTTGGGCATTTGTGATCTACATGCGCCAACTTGAGGGGGAGTATTCGGGGATGGTTATGTAAATATTCTATGAGTTATGTATTTCCTTATTTGTGCATTGAGATACCTAGGGTTCTCTCTCAAGCTTGTATAAATATCACCTACTGTATCTAATAAACCTTGAGCCGTTCTATTCTAGTTTTCTAGTCTCTACATAAATAATTTGGCAAAGATAATATAAATTCAAATTTTCATTTATTTTTGTATAAACAGTAGATATATTTTACCCAACATTTTTTTGATAAAAATTATAATTTTTTTACCAAATTGCATGAAAATAAAATAATTATGATTTTTTCTGTACGTAAGACCAATAAGCCGAAAGCCCGAAACAATGATATTACCATGATTATAAGCTATATATAACCGTTTCTTTAGAAACTAAAATTAATACAGCCATTACTATAAATACCAAATTCGTATACTAAAATTCAATACACATCAATACGATATAGCAATTTTAAAGAGCGAAAATTATTGATAGCAACTAAAGAGTGGTCGTTCCAACGCGCTTCAATGGAACGTGAGAAGATCTATATCGGATTTTAGTGGAGTAACATCATCTTTATCCGTACACTATGAATTATGATTGGGTAGTGTAACCCACGCACTATTCACCAAGCGTGATATTAGCAATAAACGAAAGGGCAAAGACCCAACATTTAATTATGGATTTTTACGCATGGCTTTTGTATATAAGACATACTCAATATTCATTCTATAGTTACATACGAATTACGTAATTGTATTACTTTTGTCGAAAACACAAATCATATTTAGTAATCTCTATTCATAAGCTAGAGAATTATAACCCTAGAGGTTAAAACTTAAAAGCTTGTTATTTATTTATTTAAAAAATAAAAAAGAAGTTATATGTTAAACTTTTGTAATGATAAAGAAAGAGAATAATACAAATCAAGAAAAATAAATAAATGCTTATGTAATTTATATATAGTCACCTTTCCATACCCTTCCCTACACACATGGAGATACTCCAATAGACTCTTCTTCTTCTTCCTCTGCCTTTTTCTCCCAAAATCTCTCTCTTTATTCTCAATCTCTCTCTCTGGTAATGGCAATGTTGGGTTTGGTTTTATCTGTTCTTACCACAATTCTTGCATTGTCTGAAGCAAGAATCCCAGGAGTCTACAATGGAGGTGGTTGGGAAACTGCCCATGCCACTTTCTATGGTGGCTCTGATGCTTCTGGAACCATGGGTATGTCTCTCTCTCTATCTCTCTATCTCTCTTCTCTTCCACATTCTCATCAATTTTAACCTAAAGTTCCAATCTTTTTTCGTAACCAAATTGTCAAAATGTTAAAATCTTGATTCTGTACCTCAAAGGTTTCAACTTTAGTACTAAACCCAACTTAAAGTTCTAATCTTTTTGTTCATCTTTGCTATACCAAACTACCACATTGTCAAATTAACGGTTTTTATTGCATCTTCTTGATTTTGTACACCAAAAGGTTTAAACTTTTTGCTCCCTTTTTTGTTTTCAGGAGGTGCTTGTGGTTATGGTAACTTATACAGCCAAGGCTATGGTGTGAACACGGCGGCTCTAAGCACGGCTCTGTTCAACAATGGTTTTAGCTGTGGTGCTTGTTTTGAGCTCAAATGTGCGAGTGATCCAAGATGGTGCCATTCTGGTAGTCCTTCAATCTTCATCACTGCGACTAATTTCTGTCCTCCGAACTTTGCTCAGCCTAGTGACAATGGTGGTTGGTGTAACCCTCCTAGGCCTCACTTTGATCTTGCTATGCCTATGTTCCTTAAGATTGCTGAGTATCGCGCCGGAATCGTCCCCGTCTCTTTCCGCCGGTAAGAAGAACAAACTCCTAGGCTTTTAGATTGGTTTCTTGAATTAGAAAAATTGGGGTTAGATTTGGTATATTATAAACTTTGGGGTGTGAAATTTAATATCTTAGAAGTATTGGGGTTGCTGTTGAGAAGTCCATATTATTGGGGTTAATGTTTACAGAATTAAAAGTTTGGGGTATTAAACATAACATTTTATAAATACCATGGTGCAGTTGTGAAGACTTATTTCTAGATTCTGAATACTTTGGGTTAATGTGAAAGAATTTAAAGTTTGGGGTCTTAAACAATATTTTATAAGTATAGGGGTACGGTTGAAAAGTCTGTCTTTGATTCTTGGCGCGAGTCGGTGCAGCATTTATGTCGGGTCTCTAGTACTTGGCTAAATTACCAAATCTAAAAGATCTTATTTTCTGCAAAAAGACGAAACTGTCCTTATAACAATCTCTTTTTTACCTATCAGTACCATATAATAAAAGTCAAGAGTAACAATAATGAAATGGTGTCTTTTAGTCAACAACGCGTTTTCTCAACTTTTTCTTGAAATGACGTAACTAACCTTGACTTGTTTGTTTTAATTACAACAGTGTGCCATGCCGGAAAAGAGGAGGAATAAGGTTCACGATCAACGGTTTCCGTTACTTTAACTTGGTTCTAGTCACAAACGTCGCCGGCGTCGGAAACATAGTCCGGTTAGGAGTTAAAGGAACACATACTTCGTGGATGAGCATGAGTCGTAACTGGGGGCAAAACTGGCAATCTAACTCTGTTTTGGTTGGTCAGTCACTTTCTTTTAGAGTCACAGGCAGTGACCGTAGAAGCTCGACGTCGTGGAACATTGCTCCGGCGAATTGGCAGTTTGGTCAGACTTTCATGGGAAAGAACTTCAGAGTCTGAGGGCATTATCGGAAACTCATCTATCTATTTAGTATTTTTATTATTACTATTAAAATTTCCAGCCGAAGGCATTAGTAATTTGAGAAATTTTAATATATAATCATGTTTATAAAGAGACCACTAAAATTCCAATTTTCTTACCTCTGATGGGTTGTGTTTTTTTCTGATGTGTTCGTTGGAGAGTGTGAAATTGGACAGTGGTGTTTTTTAAGCGTGTGGGGTCGTAAATTATAATTAGTAATCTTTTGGGGTGAAATTAGAAGTTTGTTAAAAGTAGAAGGAGGTGTGAAGCAGATTTGAAGAGTTTCTGGTAGTAAAAGAAGCAGTAATATAGGGATGTGTCATGTGTTTGTATTTTGTAATGCCTCTTGTAGAACTCTATATTGTAATTTTTATATATGTGGGTATGTTATGGTTTATTATTATTATTATTTTTTTTTTTTTTTGCTAAAAGGTTAAATTTATGGTTTATTATCTTAATCTATGAAAAGTAAACATCATTTTGCTACTACCAAATATTGATATAGAGCGAAAAAACTTTTGAAGTGATAGCTAGGCTATATTCGATCGAAATGTATTTACGTAGAATGGTTGTTTTCTATTGATTATGTATTTTTAGAAACACTTTATGATATCAATAGAGTTGATTTGTTGGAGAGAAAAAAAAAAAAAAAAAACACTGATTGGTTAACCATTTTTCTAATTTATTATGCCTAAGATTAAGGGTGTTTAATGTGGATTGGGTGGGGGTATTCATTCAATTCTTATGGTTGGTTACTATTCTTAGAAAGTTAGAACAAAAGTAAGAAAATTAATTGATTGGATATAAATACTTGAGTTATCTAAGAAAAAGGTTGGGAGAAATTAGTGGATGATAAGAAAAAATTAAAAAAGAAGAAGAATCATGGGATTTTATGGGATTTTTTTTCAAAAGCCTAAGACAAAATGGATGATAATGAAATTTTGTACTTAAGCAATGAGATAATTACGAAAAGTATTTAATGTTGCCTTCTGTTTTTTTCGTTCTGTGCCAAACCCATACCATCCAATATGTAAATAGCTTTTACATGCATTTATGATATATTTGGAACATTTTTTTTAAAAAAAAATCATAAATTAGAAGATAGCATTTGCATTATACGACAATACATATGATGAAAATTAAGAAACCTACGATGAATTTTACTATGACATAAATAAAATGAACTAACACATGTCTCAAATATATTTATCAGTAGACCGTAGTTTATTTTTTAAACCAATAATTTTAATTAGGTGGGGCATCTAATTTTATTAAATAAAATTTGTTTTCACTGTTATGAACTTGTATTGTATCAAACTATTAATCTTAGACTTATACATCATTATTATTTATTAACGTATTAATTATTATTGTATCATTTATCAAAAAAAAATATAATATAAAATAGTTTAACAGTTAAATTTAGAAAGTCTCCTGCACCAAATTTCGTTCCCAAATTTCTAATAAGTTAGCAACTTATCATTCACCTAGATAATTTTGTTTTCTTGCCATTTACCATTAAGTAAACTAGTAAAGAAAGAAAAATCTGTGGGTTGCTCTTTATAAATTGATAAACATGATAATCAATTTTTGTAGTTTAAAAGTGTACACAAAAACACAAAAACAAAAATAAAAAAAAAACAAAGAGGAGGAAATAGAATTAAAAATAAAGGGTGAAATCGGAAAGAAGCTATGAGAGAGTCACACATCAAAGAGGAAGAAGGTCCATTGGGTACTTAACGAGAAGAAAGAAGATGAGATTCGCACATGGGCGGTGGGTTCTTTTTGTTCCCTCCCTACAACATCTATAATTTTTTTCGTTCACTTTCGAAAATTTATTCGCTAAACAAATATGAGATTTACGTTTCAATGAGAAATTTGTAAAAATACAGTAAATATATATATTTCGTAAAAATACAATTAATTTTGTTGGATTCAACATTATTGTAGATTCAAACGGACAGACTTACTTTTAAAGTTAGTTGAATTAAACTAGTTAAATAGTAATCGTTTTATATTAAGAAAAATCTATAAACCCACGATTATGGAATACTCAAAATCTTGTCATTGACTGAATCGACAAAACCTTATATTTAAAATTTTACATAATCGCCGATCAAAATAGATTTTTTGGTTTCAAAACGGTCGTGATTTCAAGCTCATTGTAAAGTTGACCCAATTTTTTTTTTTTTTTTTTCCTCATATACCATTTCTATTAAGATATCGGAAAAAGACTCTCCGCTAGGGAGAGCCAATCAGGAACCGACGAACTTACATGGGAAAATAGACTGTTTCGAGCCCGAGCTTTTTTGGCTAAACAATCAGCTCGAGTATTAAAACTACGAGGAAGAAATCTAATACTAAACGAAGGGAAAAAACAAACAAGTGACCGGAAAGAGGCCATTTCTGCTGCAAAAGAAGGCCAAGCCTCTTGGTTGTCTATGAGAGATATCAAGTCAGAGCAATCAGATGCGAAGGCGCCATTAGTAATGCCTAGCAAGATCAAACAATCCATTGCCCAAAGCAAAGAATCAATCTCTGCGTGGAGCGGTGAGAGGCTTCTTCTCGAACTCTTTAAGCCAAGTTGAAGAATACGGTCTTGGTCGACTAAAACCCAACCATGTCCACTTAGAGTGTCCTCCGAGTGCCAGGAAGCATCAATCTGACATTCCGAGATCCCGGGAGCGGGAGAGGGGAGTAGAACCGCTCGGGCGAGAGGCTCGGGATCTGTCGCTTCTCTCATGTTTGCTTTCTTCCAAACAGATGCTTCTCGTAAGGCCAAGGCCAGAGTCTCCTGAGGAGGTTCTTTGAAGTTTTCAAAGCAAAATCTGTTACGACTTTTCCAGATATACCACAATATCCATGGAAAGAGTTCCAGAGTATCCTCTTCTATTCCGAATTCTTTCCCACGCCAGAAAAGAAAGTCGAAATTATAGAAGAGGGAACTTCTGGAAAAAATGTGCCCTGAGGTGGGAATGGGTGATAAGGCCCAAATTTGCCTCGAAGGCGGACAATCGAAGAGAAGATGGTTTATTGATTCTTCCGGACTCCCGCAACGGGGGCATCCTTTCTCGTTGCCAAAATGGCGATAACTTAATCTCTGAAAAGTGGCTAAACAGCCTGAAACACATTGCCACGCGAAATGCATAAGCTTTCGCGTAGTTTTTAACTTCCATACCTGTGCCTGAAGTGCCGAAACACCAGGTCCCTGAAAAGGGGAGTCACAGGTAGGACGAGATAAATCTCGCGCGGCCCAGTATCCTGATTTAACAGAATAGTTTCCGGATTTGGTGTGCGACCAACTATAGCCATCACTCAAGTAGGTACGACTTGGTCGAATTCCTAAAATAAGTGGGATATCAGCGGGGTCAATCAACACCTGAAGGCGATCCAGCTTCCAAAGCTGTGTTGATTGATCAATCAAATCGTTGACATATAGAGAAGAGGGTCTCTTGTATCAAGAAGACTCTTAGCAGCTCTCGCAGAGATAGTAGGAATCCACAAAGTTGACCCAATTATGATGCAATCTTCTATTATATAATCTAAGATTACAAACTTATGTGTTGTAACAATCTCCAAAGTGGTACTTGATAACTATTAAATGTTGAAGAAAAATCTTAGCATTTTCTCAAATTGATAAGTGAATTGATAGTTTTATGTGTTCTAATAGTTCGTCAACTATTTCGTTTATTTACTACCTTTTTCTGATAAGAGATTTTTTTTGCATTTTTGGAAGTATGAAATAGCTAGATATAAAAAACATGGTTTTAGCTTTGTAGGGTTTGTTTGGTTGCCACATTTTATGATATTTAGGTGAACAGAAACATAAATATATCTCTAATATATATACTTTATATATTATAGTCCATTATTTATTTAAAAATAATTCAATATGAGTTTGTTTTATATCTTAGTTTATTTTCCATCCAAGTTTAATCACTATATTTGTACAAACCAAAGGTCCCTATAATTTCCTCTGGCTACAAACAAACCTCTATTATGTTTTCCTTATGCTATGTTTCATAAATTTATTCTCAAGATCCGCTCATGTAATAACATTAATATTTATCTTGGTTATTGGTGTTTTTATGGTAATATTTTATTTATGAAAAAACCTAAATAAATCATCTCGGCATTTTATTTTCATGATGACTTATCTGGTTATATTTTTTAATTTACTAAATAAATCCTACTAACAATTATTTCTAGAATATTTGATCCCTATTATTTCAACTACTAGCTACAAACAAACCTCATGTGTTCCTTTTCTTATATTTCATAAGCTCATTCTAGAATCTGTTCGTGTGATAATATTTTCACCTATCTTGGTTATTGGTGTTTTTATAGTGATACTAACCTAGTAAGCAAAGCTATGTATTTGATCTACTATATGAATCCAAATAATTATTATTAGAGAGTTGTTAGTATATTTTTGTTGTGATGAGTTAAACTTTGAACTGAGTAATATTGGCTTAGTTTTGATCCATGTTTAAAAAATCGCTAGGCGCTAGTCGGGCGCTCGGGTTGGGCCTAGCGCCTAGCGAAAAAATCGGAGATTAAACGGGGATTAATCGGGATTTATATATGTAATTTTATTATATATATATTATAATACGGATAATGTACATGAGAACGTCGTTGGTCAAGTGGTTTATGTCATGCCTTTGAATGCAAACAGCCTAGCTTCGATACGTAGAAGCTGTTGTTTTGCTATTTTTTTCATTTAATGAAACGTGAAATTACATATATGCCATCGTCTTCTTCATCACCCCTGCGACCAGAAAACCCTAATTTCCGCCGTTTTTTTGTTTTTTCACAATTATGTCATTCTTTGCTTTGTTTTCTTTGGATTTTTACCCAATTGCAACAGATCTACAATCCATATTACGTTATCAATCTTATAAACCAGAAAAAATGAAACTTTTTTTAAAAAATTCCGATTATATAGCCGATTAACCAAAATCGCGACGGCTGCCGACCGCCGAGCGTTTAACCGCAGATTAAACGGCCTAGGCGGCCGCGTTTTAGAACAGGGGTTTTGATTATTCCAAGATACAATTTTGAGTTTGTAAATAGCATAGCAGTTTTTGGCCAAAATTCTTCCTTTTTCTACAAAATGTCTCCTATGTTATTTTACATAATTATTAACTGACATTTGAAACAAGTAAATGAAGTCTACATATTAAATTAACAACATCAAAAATTTGTATTCTCTAACCTATATACAATCAGATTTTTTTTGAGTAACTAATAGTAGTAAAACCTAAAAACTAATAGAGTCAATTAGCTGCATAGCAATTATTTGAGAAATAATTAGGTGTGGCATACACAAGTTTTTTTGTTTGCAAAACAAGAGAGAGAAATATTTGTTTTTAAAAAAACAAGACCAAAATACCCCTGAAATAA